TATGATATCTCAGGCTATATTTTTTAATAAAAATTTAAAAAACACCCACAGTTTTTCTCTCTGTCTTTATTTATTTATTTATTCATTCATTCATTCATTCATTCATTCATTCATTTATTTTCTGGATGGCACTTATTGACCTGCTTTGTGGAGAGATACAGAAAAATCAATTGCTAAGCATAAAATGCAACTCACATTAAGGAAACTGCAAACAATAACTAATTATGAGAAGTTGCCATGTAAATTACTCTGTGACAGTCCCAGCAATCAATTTCAAACACGAGTACACCAAGCTCCTGGTTGGAGAGGAAGATGAATGTCCCAAAACTGTGTCCATAACATAATGGCAAGATTGCCAGCAACAATCAAAGTAGGATGGCTGTCGTCTCCAAGCAAGCTAGAGAAATTTGCCGAACAGATTTTCTCTTCATCTTCTGCTTTCTTCCTTTTGTACATTTAAAGTTCAATGCTTAATATGGAAAGTTAAGACTGGCACATCTTTAAGACTGTATAAGCATGGGGGCGTGTGAAATTCAGGGATATTCACTAAGTTTCAATTAAGTTTTAATATGTTTATGTGGGAATCAATGGAATGGGATCCTCAGTATGACAGCTGTTGGTGAGGTAGGATTATGGGAGAGGTAGCAGCTTCCCTGTTATCACCTCTCCACCAATCTTCTCTAAGGTCTTCTTTGGGAAACTATTTCCCAGAGTTCCCTCCAGGCCATCGATCTAGTTTAGTGCCCTCCAAAAAGAAGCACTGGAATATTATTTGTAAATCTGGCTGGAAGGGAAACAAGGGCAATGCACAGATTGCTGCAATGTGGGAACTTCTTGAGGGTCACATGCTTGTCTAGGGCTTCAGGTTGAGAAGAACAGTAGAATAATTCCACAGTGTCCCTGAAATATGATGAAACTTTCTGGCAAGTTCTTGAGTGCCACTACCCTCTGTGTTGGTGAGAATACTATACCTTATATCCCAAGCTCTGGATACTTACCCTGATGTTGAACAATTCCAGGTAATTCCTCTTACTGTACTTTTTCTCCTTTTCCCTCCAGCACAATGTAACTATTGTCCCTAACTATACTTAATTCGTATGTCCTTTCAGCTTTCAGGTGGACCTTCCTAAATCCACAGCTACACTCCAGCCCCTATTTTTCTAAGAATCCAGCCCTCTCTTTGAGAGTATCTGCTCCAGGGAAATAATTCCATCAGTTGCACCAATTCATCTTTTTCCCTTCTCTACCATCAAAATACCAAAGTTTAAAAAGTGTGACATTAAAGTAATTATCAACCTGAAGGTTACGCTTTGTGGCTGAATGTTCTTTGGCAATGAATCAATAGGCATAGCCTCGTCCTGGATGGGTTGAGTTTTTGAAAGCAACAGAGTTAAAACTGAGATGCAGAGTTTAGCCCTTCCGTTTACTGTGCTCACCCTTAAAGAAAGATGGGGATCCTGTCTCACATGCAACCAAATCACCACTGAGGAATCTAAAGGTACTCTCCCAGGGGTTTTCATGACTGCTTCCTTTTTCTGAACGAGTACCATGTTGTTCAGGTTTCTGTGACTGTAACAAATACCTGAGACAACCACCTTAGAAAGAGAAGATGCTTGTTCTGGCTCACAGTTTGGGAGATTTCAGTCCATTGTAGCTCAGCTCAATACTTTTGGGCTTGAGTGAGGCAGCACATCACAGCTGGGCCATGTATGAAGGGAACACTCAATCTGTGGCCAGGAAAGGAAGAGGACAGGCTGCATCCTCCTATCTGTTCCAAGGGCATGGATCTAATAACTTTAGGACTTTCCACTAGGAAAGTCTTGGATCTAATAACTTTAAGATGGATCTAATAACTTTAAGACTTTCCCTACCTTTGAAAGATCCACCATCTTGCAACAGTCCCATGAACTACACCTCCAACATATGGGATATGTGGGGCAATGATCTAAACCATAGCAAGCGCACATTGAGCTTCAAATAAGTAGGAGGCCCTCCCAGGCACCATGAATATGGTTGTGAACAGATAAATATAATCTTTCCCATTCTGCTTAAACAGTTATGCCGTGTCTCAGAAGACAGTCCAGGAATATGGATAAGTGATCTAATATGAATGTGTAAGGTAGATCAGAAGTGTCCACCTTGGAGCTGTGATATTCAAGCTGATACCTGTAGTATGAGCAGGAATGAGTGATGGGAAAGAAGAGCTAGACTTCGTATCAGCTCTCATCAGCTTTTATCTATGAGGGCTTTAAGATATATAAACCTGGACTCTATCACACAAAGCAGAATAAGAACAATCACACTGAGGAGGTAGAAAAAAATATAAATACCCTCAAAAGGAGCAAAAACCAATACAGCTCAGATCAGGATAAGTTTCCTTCAGGAAGCAGAAAATTCTAGATGTGAGTTTGCCTGTGATGTATGGAATACCTGAAAGTACAAATGGAAAAACTGAGCCCTTTGATTCCTGATCATTATCCTAAGCCCTTGCATTTGAATCTATAGTACTCAGGACATGAATCTTGGGCTTATCACATTCGACACTGGAAGTTACATAGAAGGACAAAGGAAAAACATGATGGGATAGAAAAATAGCAATTTGCACATGAACTACTGCCCACCAGTTTTTATAGTTGTTGGTGCGGAAGGAAAAGAGATTGGGAACTAGGTGAATCAAAAATTATTTTCAAGTAGAAGTCCCAGTTAAGACTTTATATATCAGGTTTCAGCTTTCCTGGAGGGTTGTACATGGGAGAATTGATGTCACCTGCCTTCACACCCTGAGACACCTTCTGTCCCTTTCTGCAGAAATGTTTGCAAGCTGTTTCCATGAAGGTATTAACAAATGGCATCCATGTAGTTTAGTGATTTATACAATCATAAGCTAGGAATAATTTCCTTAAATATGAAAAGCAGCATGGAGTTAGGTGCTCTCATTCTGAGTACCAAGAAATGGCTTCCCCCATTTGGTATCTGATTCATGCCAAGGTGAAATGTGTTAGTCTCATCTTTTTCCTTCATAGATGATTCTAACCATAAACTAGGTTTAATGATCTTCTTTGGTTCTTTAATTGTCTGCTCATAATCACAGCTTCAGAAAACATTGTTTCACGGTGCAGACCTATTTTTTTCAACACCCAAATCCTTAGTGCTGACTAGGCAATCAATAAGTGAAACAGTTGTGGAAATATTTTATGTCTGCCACTGGCTCCTTTCAAAAACATTCTTCCATTTTTCCCATTTGTGGGTTTGTTTGTTTTTTTGTACCAGGAATCGAACTCAGGACCTTGTGCTTGCCAGGCAGGCACTGTGCCCCTGAGCCAAATCCCCAGCCCTTTCCCATTTATGCTGAACCCTGATGTTCAAGAGTACCAAGAGCACCAATTTGCACTTTATCTTAGGCATCTTTTTCGTATTAAAACTATAACACAAAATACCTTAAAAATGTATGGTCTTTTTTTTTTTTTTTTTGCCCCTTTAAGGCTCAGATTTCTGATATTACTATTAAAATGGTACTTGATAAGTGTCCTATTGCTACAAATTCTCATTCATTTATCACATCCTCCCCTTGTGAAATCTCAACTTCTGGCCAGATAAACTTCTATAAGTAGACTTGAGATTTGTGAGGCCTCAGGTCCTAAGCAAGATAGTCAATAGACTAGGAAGTAAAATTATTCTTATCCAAATATAAGAAGTCAGGAAATCAACTCACAAAGATATGATGCTAATGTAAGAATTAATGTGTTGCTCCTGGGGGAATTCCCACAAAGCAGTCCATAAAGGGACATGGAGACCCTCATGATGAGGACATTCAGTGATGGAGACCTATTCATGCCCCCTCTCAACACAGCATACTGGCAGCATGCTTCTTCCATTTGACTCTGAGAAAAACTGATTTTTTTCAAAATTGACACTTAGTGAAGGGAGCTACAAGTGAATTCTAATTACGCTAAAGAATGTTTAAAGGTAGAAAAGTTCTATTGATGCCCAAATATCAAATGGGCATCACAAGTTCAATCACAGACACCTGGAATCTTGCATTACTCTCTCATCTTTATGAGACAAAGCCTGTCAGTCATCTCTGAGGTCCAGTTCCGCCATTTTTCTGGGTACCTCTTCAGTCTTACCTACCCATGCAGTGGAGCTGGGATGATAATACTGTGGCAGTCCTTATTCAGTGTCTCCTCATGGTCAAAGGGAATTTTCTTCCAAAGGAAAGAACACTTAGAATCTGTGATGCCCTCAATCCAAAGCTGTTTTTACTTAACCTCGGAAGAGTCACACAGTTCCAAATATATCCAGCATACAACAGGGTAAACAAATTATACCACATGACCTGCTCTTACCTTTGACAACTTCAACTCAGGCAGTTACATAGACCCAGCCTAACCAAGGAGCCAGGAATAAGGCATTTTCAAAGGACATTCCTTGTCAGTATTCTGCCTGCTCTTGAAACTGAAGACCAGAGAAATGGCAACAGGAATTCAGGGTTTGGAAGAACTGGGTCAACCAAATTAATGTGTCGAGGACCAGAGAATTCAGCCAAAACTACACATGGATTCTCTCTAATGTTACCAAGCAAACTGAAATTCCTTTGAGCTGTAACACAGAGTGTATTCATTTTGAAAATACAGAGTTCAGCTATTATATTCCCAAACGATCATATTTTTACAAATATTAGCGACTTTCCCAATTTCTTCCCATAATTATTCCTGGAGGGGATGATCTCCTTAGTAATTTTTCTGTATTATAACTCTTTTTTTAAAGAAAAAAATCACAAATTATATTATACAGTGGATTTATAGGCCTCCCATTAGATTGCTACTACATTCTGGTTAATATGGGTGAAAATCAGTAGGTTTGATGGTGTGGTTTTCTCATCAAGGACTTAAAAAGCACTCTGTTCCTTCTAAAGGGCCCAGCGAGCAGCAGGGAGCCCAGAGCACTGTGTGCAGCGTCGCTCCCACGACCACTGAGAGCAAGAAAAGCTGAATTCTCACCTCGGTGACTGGTGAGCTCTCTGGAAGCAGAAGGCAGAGGTGTGTACTGGTGCTCCTGAGAGGCATCAACGTCCCCACTGGAAGGCTGCATGAGAAAAGCAAATGTCAGCAGAAGCAACACCAAATGCTAAATACCCTTGTTGACCAAAAATGTCTCCCTGGGATCTGAGCCTGGAGAAAACATTACCCACAGAGACTCTTCTTCAGAAGCCAGAGCTGTCTTTGGGGGGATATATTTGTGGTAAGCACAGGGGAGGATACAGAGCTTTGAGGGGCCTCAGCCCAAGGGAATGGCTCTCTGACATGGAGCGGTCTGCTTTTGTGCAGAACTGAAAGGAGATGGAGGAGGAAGAGAAGGAAGGCAGGAAATGGAGCAGACTTTGGGGTCTCTATCAGAGGCCCTCTCCCAGTAATTCCCACAAAGCAAATGCTGTCTGTGAGCAGATTTCTATGGAAACTAATGGAGGGGCTAAGCTCTGCCCCAGGGTGGGTAAGGAAAACCAGGGCTTACAGGGCACGGTGGCATGGAGTCAGAAGGAAGTCAGAACAGCAAGACTTTGCAGCATGAAATTGCTGAAGGAAAGGGCATAAATTGTCACCAGTTGTGCAACTGAACTTCTGGCTAAGTGAACAGGAGCATTGAGAAATCCATCTGAAACTTGGATTTGTGCAAAGGCTTAGAACCAGAGTGTTTTGGCTTTCTTATTTTTTGGACTCTGAAATATCTGTATATACATAATGAGATACATGGGGATGGTACTTAAGCCTGAACATAAAACGTACTCATGTTTCCTATACAAGTTTTTCACAAGCCTGAAGGTATTTTATACAATATTTATAGTGTGCCTGCATTTTGACGATAACACATCGCATGAAGTTAGACATGGAATTTTCCACTTGTGGCATCATGTGGGCACTGTTGGACCATGTTGGATTTGGGATTTTCAGATTGGGGGTGCTCAATTTGTATAGTGTGTATCAACAAAACATTGTCGTTCCAAGGTTTTAACAGAAAAGGATGACACTGTTTTACTGTACACAAACATCTCTTTAACTGCAGAACTGTGTGTGGTATGGCCCAGGACGTTAATTCTCTTTCTTGCACAATATGTTCTTGTGGGGTACAGCAGAAAAAAAAAAAAAAATTGCACTGTTGGATTGCTGGTAAGGTAGTACCAATAACCAGTAAGTCTCATTCAGAGCATGCGTGCTTATAGCAAGAAGTATCACCACTGCAATACTTAACTGAGACTTCTAAATGAAATGCAACCTCTTTTTAATATCCAAAAAGAACATCTGCTAGGATCAGAATCCTAAGCTTACAACCTTTCTAGGCTCCATGAGAAAGTAAATTTCATTAATGCTACATTTTTCTTTCGGAATAGGAAATGCGTTCTATGGGATATATTTGCCCTGCTAGAAACAAGCCTTTTCTCCAAAGAGATTACCTACATTATGGGAATCAAAGCTAAGTAGGAGATTAGACCTACTAGCTGGAAAAATCCTTTAAACTTCATTTCTGACATTTGAGATGTTTGATTAAGCAGCTTTCAGTGGAGACTTAGAGAAAGGATTCTGAAGGGACTGAAACCAGCAACTCTGTCCCTAGGTAGAAACAGATTTTGAGGGAGCATTTCTTCACTCCAGCTCAAAGGCAAATATAAGGCAAATATATGGTATTTAAAGTTTGATCCAAGGGCATGGGCTCCAAAAGGATAAAAGCTCAGTCACCAAGAAAAATGTTTTTAAAAGTAGATAGGAATTGTTATATTTATCATTAGATATTGAGGGAGCTGCAAGAACATGGAAGAGCCAGAAATTGGATGAAAATTCAAATACTATAGTCACCACTGTCTCTCTGCTTGGTACTGAAGACCTTCAGTAATCTCTCTATGATGAAGGAAACACAATAAATATGACACTGTCTCAGTGCTCGAAGCAGGACACTTGGTGTTGTGAACAAGGACCGTCACAGATATACTATTCTTTCTCCGTGTATTCCTGCTCTACCTCATCCTTGAAAAGCGAACCTAAAATCCAGTATGCAATATTGTGGTGTTCCTTAGTGCTTTTAATGTCTATTTGGGCTACTGATGATTTAATGACAGCTTTTCCTAAAATTACTGGAAGAAACACTACCTTTTCTCAAATACCTCTGATTGTGCAAAACATTACAGTTCTGTAACTAAGAGTAGAGAACTGGTTTTGTTTCCAAGTGTAGGCAAAACAAAAATGGTGTGGCTTGAGTTGTCTTGTAGTCATCATTCCAAGCCCAGGAACTTAATTACTTTTCTGTCCATATAAACTCTAAGTCACAGAAAAGAACTAGGAAAGGGGCAATTTTGCAAACTATGCCTTTTGGTGGGACTTGTATGGCTCAATGTTTAGGAAAACAACTACAAATGAAGATTTCTTGACTTGGCTTTTATCAAAAAGAAGCCCATTTGATCTTGTTTCTAATATTATGCTTATGAGCACGACTCAGAGAAGCACAATTATGATGTGAAAGTGGTGGACTAGATGCCTTAAATTTGTACACTGTCTGCTAAAGAATAAAGAACTCACCCTGAAATAGAAGCAGGATCCCTACAGTATTTTGAATATAAGATAATAGAAGCATCAGCAGAAAAATCTCCATAATGGTTTCTTTTTCCTAAATTAGGAAGAGATACCTAAAATAAGAAAAAGGAAATTTGGGCAAATCTGAATCTTCAGGACTATAAAGATTTTTTCCAGTCTTTAAATCCTTGCCAATTTCCCTACTGCCCGTGGCAAGGAGTTGTACTTTTACATTTTATTTTTATCTCCTGTTAGAAGACATTTGCCACATCTATAATAAAATAGTAGGATCCAGGATATGTGAATAATGTCCCAAAGTCAATAGAAAATGTAATAGATAAAATAAAGGCAATGTCAGGAATTTCAACGAAGAGAAAACCGTAAGTCAGGAAACATAGGAAAAGTTGTTCAAATGTGATAGTATTAAAAGCAATAGAAATTAAAATGAGGTATAATATTTCCACCCATCATACTGGCAAACTGTTAAGTCTCATAATAGTAAGTGCTGGGGGGATTCAGGGAAGTGAAAGTGTTACCTTCTCATCCCTTGCCAGCGGGAACATGCATTGGTTCGACTACCTTGGAGAGTAATTTAGCAGCACCTCATAAAATTGAAAATTGGTGCAGCAATTTCATTTAAAATATATATACTATGGAAAATTTCATACAGGTCTGCAAGTTGAGACATAAAACAATGTTTATTGCAGCATTATTTATAACAGAAAAAACTGGAAATAACTTGTGTCTGTCAATGAGGAAAATGGATAAATAAAAAGCCATCTATTCGTATGACAGAATAATATTTAGCATTTAAGAGCAATAAACCTGATTTATATTTCTCAATTTGAATAGGTCTAAAAATTTATACAGAGAGAAAATACAAGTTGCCAAATTATAAATGTACAGCAATACTATTTGTGTAAAACATAGTTCTTTGATTTCATATATGTATGGATACATGTTAAAATAATCAAAGAAATGACCTAAATTTATTTTCAAAAACATCTTTGCCAGGGGCAGTGTGATAGGACTGGGGCTAACAGGATGTGAGGGATTGTCAGTTTTATAAGTGATGATGATTTCTTTCACTCAAGGGACGGATGTGATGAAAAATGTCAAAATATTAAAAACTACACATTTTGGATGGCAGCTATATGGATCCATAATTTTTTTCACTTTTCTACATCCTGGAAATTTCTTGAAATTAACCATGAAAATTGAAAAAGCAGCGTCTCTCCTTACATCTCTGATCCCTGCAGTCCTATATGGATATGAGTCCATAATAAGAGGAAATTTCCTCTAACAGTTCCCTAGTCCTTGCATAGCGTGGACTAACGCCATTGCTGGTTGGATTTTGGTGATGAAAGTATCTCATTTCTGTTTCTTCTAAAGCTACTGAGTGTGACCCATGCAACAGAAAAAGCTGATAATGGGTAAATATGCGTCTGCCGAATGCCAAGACTTGAAGTATTCATCCCATCCTCATAAGTCCTTGTGCTGAGGATCTGCCAAAGTATACTGAAGGCTCCTTGATGCTTCTCCCATTCACAATTGGAGAATTGCTAATAATTTTTTAAACTCCCATCAATCACAGTAATAGTCCCTAATATACTGCACTCTGCAATTTCCATAATGCAGGGAGGAAGGGAGAACTTTGGCAACCCAGCTGGAAAAGATTCAATGAAAGTACAGTGCATTCTATGAGAGAGTTGCAGAATGAGAACCTCACTTAGCAATCACAGAAAACGAACTTCCTCAGATAAATGTCTAAAGTCCAAGGCTCTTCTCCATGGGTGCAAGCCATGAAAACTGCAGTCCGGGGGATATTTGTGAACATCGTGGATTCATGAAAGGAACACGATACAGACCACAGGAAGAGAGAGCTGGCGGGCTTCACAACAAGAAGAGAGCAGCTACAAAGTTGTTTAATAGCCATAAATCTTCCACTATTTTTCACAAAATACCATCTAAGACCACAGCTCCACAACTCATTCCCCATCACTCAGCTCAAGTGGAACACTTTGGCATGCTCACTCACCCTTAAATCATACACTGCATAAAGTGATCCAGGGCCTGGGAAATTTGTCAGCCTCTTTCAAGTAAAAGCAATCTTCACTTTTCATCACAATTCATTCCCTGAAACCATGGCATCAAGCTGACTCTTCTAAAAACATTTATTTTTTCTCTCAGAAGAAAACACATCACTCATTTAGTTATCAAGTATTTAGTAACCACCTAGGACATGCCAGGCCCTGTACTGAGAATATCAACACAGAGAAAATAAGGACCTGGTTGCATCCTGGATGCACCAAAAAATAATAATCAGACAATGATTAATATTGATCATAGAGGGTCATCAAACTATGACATTAATGTCATATTCTGAGTCGACACAGAATGTTGTCCCAGCCCTCTATTTTGACATCATAACAATAATTACATCATTACTTGCTGCTCATTCATACTAATGGAAGTTTTTAGAATTAGCTACATAATCTGCTGAAATCAACTATATTATTAAGCCTC